GCTCCCCTGGGGCCAGTCGGGGGCGCCTGACACACGCACACACACGCACACACACACGCACACGCACGCACGCACAGGCACACGGGCACTCTGCTTCTTCCGCCTCCCGTCGCCGTAAGGCAGCGCTGCTGCTAGCACGGGAGTAATACGACCATAATTACGCCATTGCTAAGAGGTCACCCGTGTTTTAAATCGTCACCCCATATATTAGGCGGATATATTTCTTCACTAAGGCACTGATCTTGCTCATACTTAAGTACAGCCATAACTTCACTGATGTAAGCTGCCTCGTTGAAGCCCACTGGCGTTACTTAGAAGCACAAGGACAAACCCGTCCCTAAGCATTGGAAAGGCTATGGCCAGATGATCCTGCATATTTACACTGCATTCATAAATACATGCAATTAAGCTGAGCAATATACTTCATATTTCCTATTAAAAAAACTAAAAGAAAATGTGATGATACAGGAAGTCTCACAGTTTTGTGGTTCTGTTGCATGAGAAACGGAAAGACACGCAATCTTAGAGCTAAAAAGATAGATACATTTTGTTTTACATTTACTTTTCTGCCTTTGTCATCCAGAACAGTAATGTGTCATTGTACATGTATGCTAAAACAGCAACTAGTATCTGTTACACTCAGTGAGACCGAGTCCATGATGTTTTCTAAAACGCTTTAAGCTATTTCCACGGATGTAGTTTTCAGAATTTACTTTTCATCAGAAGAAACCTCCACATTACCATTTATCAATTACCACAGGCATACCTCCAAGTCACTGTCCGGAGGGGGTGATGGATTATTCTTCCTCCCTCTACCCCGAGACTTTGACCCAGAACTCCTACATGTTCTCTCATCAAGATCTTTGATTGGCGTGGAGGGGCTCTGCACTGTGTCAAACTCCCCTGTAAAGTCAACCATTCATGGCAAAATTAGTGCTGGATTTTTAAGTAATACACTTTTTTTTCTTAAAGCTAGACATGTCTGTATGCAAACCCAACCACAAGATGCACCTAAAAATGTTTTACAAAATCAGTGATAACATGGTTTATCTTACATAGAGGGACTCTGCAGATGCCACATACACTTCTGACTTTACCAAGGAAACATCTTAGCACAATAAGAGAAAGACTAAAATGACACATATGCATGTGCAGACGTATAAACAAATACACATGAGCCCACGCAAAATATTGGTATATCCAAGGAAGATGTATTTTAGAAGTCACACTAATGACTTCTCAAAACGTGAAGTGCCTTTTAGTTAGAGCAGTTCATTTCCCCTGTTTGGAGTTCACCTAGACTTATTTCCAAGTCCTAAATTACTTTTACATGAACACCCTTGGGCACTCGCCCACACACCAGAACAGCCAGTCAGCTTCCTGCTTCATCTCCTCCTCCCATGTCACCTGCTCTTTAGTTGGGTTCGCTTTCTTTCTGGTATCTTACCTCTGCCCGTAAATTGGTAAAGTCATAATATTAAATGTAATAGTTCAGTTACTACCAGAAAGAGGGTAAAGTCGTACTTGTATTCTGATCATCTTTAACTAAGTACCAGCTATTGTCTGCTGTCAGAGGGAAGGTGTGCTGGAAGGACCTTTGGTCTGGCACGGCATAGTTGCTCTTAACACTCAAGCCTATTGCTGACTTACCCATTTAATCTACTTTGCCTCTGCCGATAACAAAGGGCTTTAGAGGCGATCACAAATCACCAGCTATGTAAGACAGACAGACTGAAGAAGTTATCTCCAGGAAGGATGGAGTGGAACTTCCCTTTACAAAGTACTTCTATGCCACAGCTCAGCAAATGGAAAATAATCTTCATAACGCAGTACTTTCAGTACCCTTTCAAACTGCTAGCATTATATGCAGTTTGGCTAGGCTCCCGAGCGCTCAATGACATAAATCCTCCTTTATCATTTATCCTATTAATGCTTTGATTGTTCTCCATTAAAGAAGGAAAGGGTACAACTTTGATCTGACATCTACTACAGAGTTTGATTCAAGGGAGTCCTTGTGCTGCATGTAATTGTGCGTTTCTGGGACACTTCGGTAATATTTTTTGAAAGTGCTCATGATGGCATATCTGCTGAATAAATTAACACTTGGTACAAGCATTTACCAAGAATCATCTTTGATGCATCTTATTTTGAGCTGGAATCTGAACATTTTTCATTTTTACTGAAGAGTCTCACTAAGCGGCCAGCAGATCAAGGAGAGTGATTTTTTTATGTTCCATTCTCAACTTGCAAGACCACGGCTGGAAAACTGCCTGGTTTTGAGTCCCCAAGTGGAAGGCAGATATTGACAAACTGGAGTTAGTCCAGGTGAGGGCCACCAAGACGGTTACGGGGCTGAGCACACGGGAGCAAAGGCTAAGTGACTTTTCACAGAGGAGTCGGCAGCACAGAGGACTCTCCACAGCAGAGAAAGGACAAGATGCAACAGGCAGGAATCACCAAGGGATACTGCTGTTAGATACAAGGGAAAAATCCTTCACTGTGAGAGTGGTCAGGCCCTGGGACAGGTGCCCAGAGATGCTGTGCATACTCATAACTCCACTGGACACAGCAACATGATTCAAGTTGGCTCATCCACGAGCTGGTTGGACCAAAAGACTCGCAGAGGTCCCTTCCAGCTTGAATGATTGACTGTTTCTGTGATCTTCCCGGAGTCATTCACCTCATTCTCCCTCCATAACAAAGGAAAAAACAATTTTGGTCTAGCAGGCTGTAAGAAGAAAAAATAGACTGCAGTCTCAATTAGTCTGTGCGTAATGTAACACAATAGTTAAATTCTTAATCTCTTCCATCATTTATTTATACCTTACGGTGAACCACACACAGAAGATTATTAAAATAAATACACTGGGAGATATATTTATATATCTTGACTGGAAAAATACTGTTGTATTTCTTGGAAGAATAAGATTTAAGCCCATAATGTCACATTCCTGAATGGGAGCTCTGGACATTGTGAGGACAAAATTCAAGATTCAAGGAAAGAGGAGAATAAGAAAGTTAGTTCCTGAGCATATTGGTTAGGACATTTATCTGGAGAAGGACGTATCTAGGTTCCACTGCCTTCTTTGGGATACTCTTGTTTATTTGACTGAATGACTGTTATATAGGAAGTATAAAGACATATTTTCATGGCCCAGAATCTACACCCCTGTACCTCCAAGTGGAAGTTGATGAATCCTCCATGAAACAGGAGGAAATCAAATCTGTCTTTCTCACTTCACGGGAAAGTACTCAAATTATTCTGCTACCACCTGGAAGAAGATACTACTTTTTTCTCAAACTAGGTGATGACTACTTCAATGTTGCAAAACCAATGTGCTTCTCTGCTTGTACAGAAGAGAGCCAAACTTTCAGGCAGCAACTAAGAAGAGATTTTCAAAACTGCAATTTGAGAATTTATTCCAGATACCATTCTTGATACGTCCGTCCTGATTTGGACAAGGATTATATGCATTCTATAGTAGTTTCTCATTCAGCTAAAATCCTTATTTGCCAAGAGATGATGGGAAAATTAAGCAGCAATAACAATATATAAAGAATAATGTTCCCATGGTGTTTTCACTTGTCCCTACAGAACAGAAAGAGAGAATTCTTGTTGACTAATCATTTCTATTCCCAGCACGGTGTTGATGTCAGTAAGGACACTGCAGGCAGTGGAGCGATCAATAAGGTCACATTATATTAGTCCTTTCCCCATAAGAAGAACAGCAAAATGTACAGTGGTAAATGTACAAAAAGAAGCTTCACAACCAGAATCCTTGTGCAGCAAAAAATGATACCGGCTTCAAAAGAAGTTCTGAGTGTGCAGGAGTGCTGTATGGAAATATAATTTCCTAGATTTTTCTGACAGAGTGGAAAAAAATGTCCCAAAACAAAACTCCCGAAATGAAAAGGCAAAAATTAAATAAGTGAAGATGAATGTTTATATTCTTACCACAAAAGTCTGCATATTTATAACATTTCAACATTTTACAACAAAATCAAGACTCATTTCTACAGTAATGTATTAAAACATCTGTTCTCATTGACTGTGTTTACTCTAATCTACCAAAAAAAAAAAAAAAAAAAAAAAAGAGCCCTGTTCTAAATCTTCTCTGAAAGTATCCAACAACTGAAGTAAATAACTTCAATTTTCATTTAGCAGTAGCCATTACTAGTTGCCCCAGGCTTCTGCTTGGGTCAACGCTGTACATGATTGCATAATTATCCATTAATCAGTACTGTAACTAATCACTGTACCTTGTAAGTTCTAGATATTTAAAGCCAACTTTATTTCATTACGCTAATCTCTAAATCAGAACAAGCAGCTGTCTCTTACTTGAATGCAAGGTATGCATCTATTTTAGAACTGCAGAAGTCAGTAGTGCATGTTTTTTTGAACAACTGTAGACTTAATTGCTTGATTTGCTTTTTACCAACAAGAGGTTAGAGGAGCAACTGCATTTTCTTATCCTCTGTTTGCTTTAGAAATGAGCTCAATGCTGATAAAAGGAAAACTTATTAAAAATTCAGCCATGTAACATAAAAGAACGTGAGAAATTCTAGTACCAGAGAGTACTAAAAATATTACCCTCATGAAGAGTTCCTACTGCAGCTCATATTAGACAGATTTTTTTATTGCAATGTTTGAAATTTTTTAGCTTTTCCGATATTCAACACATGCCTAATAAATATACTTCATAGCCTCCTCCCACTGGAACTATCAGCAGCATCAGAGATCCAATAAAGCAAGAGGAAAATGTCAAAAACAGAATATGGAACGAACATTTGTCACAGATGTTCATACATATACTCAAACGCTACTTCATGTCCAGCATGAAGCCTTCCGTGCCATGAAGACCTTGCAGCAGCTCCAGCTAGAGGACAGGGAGTTACAGCACCACAGTTACAAACGGAGGTGGTCTTTCATATCCAGAACATTGTTTCTCACCTCTAGTTTGATGCGAACGTTCCCTCCTCCCTGTTAAAACAGTTGTACAGTTGTACCACTTAAACAGAAGAAAAGAGGTGTGGGCACAGTCTGCATATAGACCTAATGCCATCTCCTGGAGATGCAAAGGGTGACTTCATTGTGGGTACCAAATTAAGAGAGATCAAGCTCTGCTGCATCCCAGTAACTGAACTGGAGCTAATAACCCACGAGTGATTCACCTTGCCTAACTCTGGACATAGGAAAGTGAGGTGCCTAAACGTGAAGTTGTTACCCAGGCCTATTTCCTCTGCTAGAATTGTGTCTGCCCTAGATTAAATGTACTCATCAAATGTACTCAGATGTACTCATCTCCTGAGACCTCATCTCAGGATTCATCTGATTTATCACAATTTAAGATGAAGTGCCCTTGGAGTTACCTGCTTGTCTCACAGATACTCTGCGGTTATGGGTGTATTTTGAAAAATCTGAATATAGGGCAGGCACAACACAAGCTCAGAAGAGAAGTCCCATGGGAAGGTTAAGGAGCTGAGCCTTACACAGATGTGGGATGGATGACTTCTGAGCCCCTTCATACTCTGCTTACGGATTGACTTTTGTTACATATTTTTACCAGACAGAGCAGCCAGAAGATGTCTTCAACATCACAAAACTTTTCTTTTTGGTTCCTAATGTGTTATTGCTTGTTATGAGTAGCAGAGAAAGTCTATTTCAATTTTAGTCTCATTTTCTTTACTTGTTCAATAAATAAAATTGTAACTGATATTAACTCTTGATCTGCTGGGGCTTTATTACGAAAGCAAGAAATCCTGTATGTGTGGAGAGTACTAGAGGCTTTGCTTAGTTATTTGAATCAGCAGCTAGCAGAGATGGCAGAAGAGTGAAGTGCCTTGCTGTGTTTAGTCTTAGCTTTTAGCTGAAGCCTTAAGGACTGAGCAACAACGGCCTGTTAGGCAGCAAGGGAACGTGGTGAGTGCTGAGGCTCTGCAGGATGACCTGCTGTGTCTGAAGTGATCTCCAAGACACTGCACCTCACTGATGCAAATTTATTTCTACAGTGACACAGAAGGGCGCAGGCATGTCATGTATTCGCAAAGTGGGTGTTTCGCTCTCAGCAGAGGGTTGCATGACCAGTGCAACACTTCACAGAAATAAGGAGTGTGTGGGCAGATTTGTAAGTCCAGATGCACAACCTGCTTAACAGGAAAACAAGTTCATATCCTTAAACAATCCACAAACATGAAAAATCCTTACTCTTTCATAGATGTGAAGGCTTCAATATTTTCTCAACCTGTTCAAGCTATGTAAGATTCCTTTTCTTTGCCAATGCTATTCAATACTAAGGGAGTTTATAATACGTGGTAAATTTATACAGCATTTCTAGGAAACACAGATACACAAGGGAGAGACAATATGGGAAACATGCATGCACACACTAACTTTAAAAATGAGCCTCAAGAAAACAGCTGGCTAGGAAAAATTTCAACTCGTGCAATTAAAATTCCAATGTTTTTTAGTAAATTTAAGCATCTTACATGAAGTATGAGGCCTTGCTTATACTTTTCTACACAGTATTCCCTTTCTTTGTATAAATTCATTATAATACATTCATTTTTTCTACTATACTTTTCAGTGAGATGTTGCAGTTGTTACGATGAGAATTAGGAAGATTTATGCAATGAGTTGATTTTGTGATTAAACCCCTTTTACCTCCAATTCAGAGCCTAATCCAAACCCCAGTTTGTTAGTGTTTTTACAACTGCTCACAGCCTGTGGGTAAGGCAAACACTACCCGTGCTGCATGAGTGAAGCCAGTGTCTAAGAGCGCTGGCAGTTGGTCACCTCTCCCATAGATGCTACACACAGCCTTAGTAGGCTACTTCGGTTGTGAATATATGACATAATACTGAGCTAGATATTTAAGAACTTCCTATATAATAGACACAATACAGGAAAGCGAGCATGAAAAAGCAGGCGCTGTTCACCCAGTGAGGGTACCACACTCGCCTGACTCTGGCTACAGACTCCTAAACTAGCCCACCAAGACCTTCACAGCTCTGCACTATACTATGCATAATTTTAACTACGTAATTTTAACTTTTCTTTACTTTAGTCCCATTTATATTAAATGGGGGAAAATAAATCGGTGACATGTTCAGGAACTTTCTAGCATGAGGGGAAAAAAAAAAAAAGGAAATCCGTATTAACATTTCTGTTTGCAGAACACGTAGAATGGAGCAGGTAAATGGCTGTGAATTGGGTTATAATGATAATGGGAAAAAAATGAAGAGCTGCCATTACCAGGAGCCGTGCCCTAGGAATACGAGCGTGTAACAAAATACTGTGCTGTAGTGGATGTGCACGAGAGGGCAGAGTTGGGCAGGCAAACTGAGTCTCGGCATGTCTCCCCAGAACTTTCTTTTTGCAACTGCAACTACTTCAGTGCGATTTTAGACTGGTGCTAATAACCGATTAATCTATTCTTAGTAACCTAAATCTGTGAATTAGCAAGTACAGCTTGTATATATTTGAATAAAGCTCATGTACTCTTGCTAGCATGATCGGGGCATAATTAAATCAACAACAGTATCTTGTTTTAAATTCTTTACAGCAATACTTCAGAGCATGTAGGTGGATACAGAAAAGATGGATACAGAAATGTTCCACTGTCAGTAATAGGAGCGCTCGCTGAATCTTTATTTTCGAATTTACTAAAGGGTTGTTACTGTACAGTTGTTTCGGTACTAACAGATCCCTGTCAGTACCGAACTACTGCACGACCAGACTGGTGTAGCTTTTTTGAGGCCTGCTCCTTCCGCAGTCAATGAGCTCAGTCTGCAGAGAGCTTTATTTAGCTAACAAACAAACTAGACAGGTTTCCTAAACAAAAACAAACAAACAAAAAAGAAAAGCTTATTTTGTCTGGTTTGCCTGATCAAGTTTCTGAAAGGCATGAGCTTAAAATGTCAATATTCAAACAACATGGATATGGAAATCTTGTCTTTATACACGTACAGAATAAAATACAAAAATTGTTTTCACCTGAATGTAGATCTGTACCTGGTTGACTAGTCAGGCCAGGGAGAGAGTCCTGTAACTGGTAGGTTGATGATGATGAAGTGCCATCAGCCGTGTTGTTTGAGGTCATATATGCACCATATGTTGATGCTGAGTAATATTGTGCATATTGATTTTGGCCAAAAGCTGTGTATGATGGATAATCCTAAAACAGCAAATGCAGCAGAGTTCTTAATTAAGTAGAGTAACGAGTGATTCTTCCACTAAGTATTTGTAAGCGTGCAATAATACGACTTTTGTAAGAGTTTTGGGGGTTTAGCTTAGGGGCTTTTTAAATTTAATCTAAGGATATTTACTAAAAGACTACAGGGAGGTTGCTGAAGTATTTAAGTGCCAAAAGACGCAACTAGGCTTCCACTGAGATTTTGATTGCTTTCCACAGAAAACAGCATTGAACCACAGTGAGTCTAATTCAACATAACAGATCTAAATGACGATAACATGCTATCACTGGAGTTATATAAATCCTTTTGTAATTGACAAAGAGAGATGTTAGTGTTCATACCTGTTGTGAACTACTGAAGTTTGTAGAATTTGAAACAGAATTGTTTGCATAAATAGTAGACGATGGTGTAAAACTAGAACCTAAAATTAAAAAATACAAATTAACTGTGAGAACTTGCTTGTGAATCAAAATAAAACTCTAAATACAATATTCTCTCTTAAGATATAGACGAATAAGAAGAACAAACAACTTCAATTTTCTGCTTAAGCAACAAAACTTTGTAATGTAACTTTAAAAGAAATGAAATGCTACTTCCACACATACAGGCATACATTCCTCTTCACACCATACAAGGGAAGGTATTGGCAGTAGGTCATTACACCAATCAAGAAAACATTTTTCAATTTATTGCAGTGTCTCACCTCTCCTCAAATATTTTTTTTCTCTTTTGCCTTCATTTCTAAGTTCTAACACTTTAGTGTTATGTTCACTTACGAAACAAAAAACTTGTCAAAGAGTGATCCAGGTGTTTTTAACGGATCTGTAATGAGGCATGTCCTTGTTTTCAACGTATCAGATGATTCACATTGTAACTTGTAGTATTGAAAAGATTAACAGTTGTATAAGAAGCATAAAAATTATCCAAATAAAACAGGTTATCAATGATGTAAGAGCAATAAGTGAATTAATAATGGAATAATAAATAAAAGAATAAATATTAATTAAGGAGAAATTCTAACAAATTATGTTATCCAAAGAGAACCAAGTATCAAATTATGTCATACTCAGACACATGGAAACAAGGAAAAGTGACTTGTGTACACTAATAAATACAACAAATGCTTCCAGGCCTGCCGTGTGATTTCATCCCATAAAAAAATTAAGGTGCAAACAGGGACTGCATTGTGTGACCAGATCTAAATTAACAGATAACCAAAATGAACACATATATGCATATCAGTACTGGAAAAAAAAAAGGTAACTTTAAATTTTAGAGGTAAAAGTAGCTGTCAGTGATAAGCATACTCGATGGAGTTCACAAAAATGAATAGAAAATGTATCGTAAACATGAGGGAAAAGGTGGCAGGCAGCAGCAGAGGGATGGGATGAGCCCTGACAGTGGTGGCTACTCACCTGGCATCTGATAAGAGTAGGGTGTTTGGCCTGGCTGTGGGGTGGAAAACCCTGGGCTGTAACTGAGGCACCCGCTCTGCAGTGGTGATTGGGTCTGCGAGAGCCCACTTTCCGTCTTGATGCCTGGCAACATTACACCCAAATCTGTATAAGAAATTAATTTTCAACTGATTCTTTAAAATATTTTCTTACAGTTGGGAAAATAAAAAAGCAAGCAAAAAAATGTTCATGTCGGCATCGCTCTTACTTCTACAAAAGGTGAAGTAATAAGAGGTCCCGTACCGTAAGTGGGTAAGCTGTACGGCTGTCCTGTCTGTGAGTAGGCTGTATAGACCGCCGGTTGCTGCATTCCTGAATACTGGGTTTGTCCGGCATAGGCAGACATTGTTTGAGCTGCTGGTGTAGAAAGAATGTGTGGATAGGGCCTAAATATTAGGAAAAATAGCATTACTGTGGCAACAAATACTTTGTATGTTGATTCAAGCAATAAAGTAAAGAAAAAGGTTTAAAGATGTCCAAAGGCAGTTCATTATTCTGCCAACTGTTCCTCTTCTGGGATTTATTTCATCTCCCACTGAAATAAACTGAAAACCACTCTGGCTCACATTCCCCAGGGCACGGTGAATATTTTGTGATGTCCCATCACTACAATTCCAATCTCAGGCTGCTCTGTCCAGCTGTAGGTGGACTGTGCCACCGCTATAGGGCTTCATATGGATTTGACCCCTTTCAGCCAAGATCAGCGTGTGTAAATCAGAAAAGCCCCCGTGCTTTTTTGATCCAGTGGAGGGAAACTTGGACTAAAAGAATAAAGGAAATACAGAGGTGAGTATTAAAGCTACTACATTATGTCCCCTGTGTTCGGTTCTGCTTCAACAGACATCTAGCCTCTGGCTTCAATGGGAGATGGATCGTGCCCATTGAGAGTAGCATGAAAAACATTGACTGCAATACTTTGGTAACCAGATGGGCTCTAAACGTTTGGAAAATATGGGCTAGGGAAATAGAATGGAAATGAAAATGGTCTTTTATTTATGAATACTGGGGTTTTATAGAGAGATTGAATAAAATCAAGTTTAAAATTTTTGCCCTCCAGAGTTGCAAAAACATACAGAGAAACATTTGTCTTGGATTGTTTTGTAAGTCAAATAAGACTTTATGGACCAAGAGTTGAATAAACACACTCTGCAGAATTACGCTAACTGAAACCTGGCCATTAAAAGCCGTGACTAAATTTCAGATTCTAATTTTTTTTTCTTTCTAATTAGTTCAGTACAGTTGGCAGCAGTTACTATCAGAAAAGGATTACTCATTAATTTAGATGCCAATAAATTATAACAGTTGATTAAAAATTCTATTAAACCTTGTAATATATTTAGCCAAAAGTATCTGATATAGTTTGCCAAAACCTGTTTTAAGTGGAATGAAAGCTGTTCTTAGTTCAGGCAATTACTTTCTATATCAATAAATATTGTGTATCCCGATATGAATGCAAATTTGTTAAAGAAACTTGAAAAAGGTTAATCAGCTACAGGTTCAATGCTTTCTCTGTATCAGTCACACAGGTAGCTGTATCAAATACACAGAAACAAATACATGATGTACTGAGATCAAGCACCCTTGTGCACAACACTGATCGCAAGACAAGCAAACTGATAGGCTGTGAACTGCCGCAGTTTCATATAATATCTTAGATACTTTTCCCTAAAGTTCCCACTCCTGGATTCATGTGATTGCCCAAGAGGCTTGTTCTCCTCAAAAAAAAAAGTGAAAGAAATTTTCTATTCCTAACAATGCACATCGTCTTAAAAATAAAAAAACCCAAGAGATTAAAAGCTAATCCAATTTATTTGATTTTTAAATCTTATGATACCAGAGAAGGAGGAGGAAAGGGTGGTTCATGAGTGTGGAATGTTTGGAAGCGCTTGGCCATGCTGGTGCTGGAAAGGTCTGTGGCAAGGTTACCCTTCAGTACGCGTCTTGCATGTGCAATTGTGATTTCTAAATCTCAACTGTCTTCAAAATACGTCTGTATACGTTGCCAGCACTGTTAAGATGCTGATGTCTGAGCGCATAATAGTCTGATTTTTTCCTTCTGTTGTGTGCAGATATTTAAGGATATTTCTTGTGCAGCAGTACCGTACTGCACAGCGCAGGATCTTACTCTGCAGCCACATGAGGAAAAAAAAGTTGGAAAGCAAGCTATAATGGAGTCAGCACTGAGGCTTAAGTATTTTCCCTTCTCTCTGTTTCTTCTGCTGATGAACACTTGTTTGCAACAAACCACAGAACTGCCTACAGCCAAGGTCAATTCCCTATAAAAGACTAGAAGCGGTGCAGACACTAACTTGGAGGGATATATCTGCGGAGAGTACTGGTGCGCTGATCTTGGGCTGTAGCCACTACTTGTTATTACTGCAAAACAGAAAACAAGAGTACGGCAGTTAGAAACATCAGGAGACCAATACAGCCCAACAGTCTGAATCCTAATGCAGCAACATTAGCAGAGAAGCTTAGTGAAATGGACAACTTTTCAACAAAGTAGATGTCACCTGAACTGCAACATCTTAATACAAAAAATTTAAAAATTCCCAAATTATTCATTATTGTACAGAACTATTTAGTTGGTATGGGCATGTCATGCTTTTTCAGCTTGACTGACATATTTCTGAATGTATTGCAGAGGCATATATTTCACACATAATCTGTGATGCACACACCATAGATCTTTCAAACTTGCAAGTTTTATTAAAATTGGTGGTTAAAAAGAATCTTGTGATTTAACATACGGTATTGCATGGGATTGAAATAACATGCATGTTCTTTTAAAGTCTCACATTAACAAGTTTAGTTTTAATACTGGGTAGGAAAAATATGTTTTATATGGGTGTGGTTAATTTTAGTCAGCTTAGGTGATGGAAGACACTGGATTGAAAATACCAGGGAAAAAATATTTCTTATCAACAGGTCGACTAGAACATAGACACTAACAACAATATGTAGGCATAAACAGTCCTGTCCAGTAGCCATTAAAATTGTGTGTGTCTATACTATTCACAGCTGCATTATTCCAAGAAAGCTAACGGAACTATAGTCATATCCCATTAAAATTTCATTCAGAAGCGGTGCTCACACTGGATTAATTCCAAGTGTTTGGAAGTTTCTCTTTCCTTTAGCCATCTGTCTTGACTAAGACAGATGTGTTCCAAATATATATGTACTCTAAAGTGTTGAACCAATCCCTTCAGAGCAAATCTCTGCTGGGCAAACATACAGAGTGTCTTTATTAGGCCATCTGCTGCTCATTCACTTTTCAAAAGATTAAAGTAGTACACAATGAAGCACTGGAATTTCTTTAGTCTAATCAATCATAGTTGTACTTCAAAGTGTACCCTCTTCCTGAGCTGTTCGTAATGGTAGTAGAAATGAACTTTTGGAATTATATAAGTGACAAATAGGCTTAGGTTCCTAACTATTTTATGAAACATGATATATTTCTACATCCAGACCTAATTAACATCTTTGAGATCTATTGCTTTGAACATATGCAGAACTTCATATTTTTAAAACTAGTTTAAACGCATTTAGAACATGTAGGAGTTGAAAGGAAAATACAGTAGAAGAAAAACAATTAGCTGCTTTTTTAAATGTGCAGTTGAGTACGGCTTTAAAATAAAGAAGAATTGGATAATAATTTTTGGAACATGTGCCACCAGATTTCATAAAATAGTTGCAGATTGAAAAGATATTGAGGGTTTGTCTGTGATGGAAATCGGCTGAATTTAATTTTGTGTGGGTATTCTTGTTTTTTTTTGAGAATGTCTTTCTGTGGTTTAAGCTCAACCTACAGAATGATCCCCTAGGTGTGCATACAGCTATTCCCACAGTTAGGTGAACCTATGGCAGTATATATCAACATAAGTGGCCCACAGAACTCTAGAGGATGCTCTTAGTTATTTATGGCCTGAAGAGTAATTAGTCTTCCCTGTTGTATCCCTGTGGTGATAGGGTCTTTCTGAAGACAAACAATAGCTAACAGAATGACCTTGGTGATTCTCAGGGCAAGGAACTTTCAGGATACATTATCGGCTTATCGGATCTTTTTTGCCTGTACTGCTCCACTTTTTGTCTGATCATTTGCTGGATGACAGCTCACTTGATTAATCAGTTTGGTTAAAGCACATTTTCCATTCCACCACACCTGATGTAAACTACAAAAAATTAATTATTGTTCATTTAAATCACTTGAGCTGTCAAAACCTAATGTTTTTCAACAAAAATTGCCCTTTCTGCTTTTTTTATTCTTTCTTCACACACCTTATTTTATAAATTCAGACAAGAAAACAAAATACTTTTGGAATGTGTCTGGTTTTAAATTTCCTTCCCCTCCCCAATTTCCCTCATGATACTACCTGTTGTAGGGAAGAGAGAGAAAAAGAGGCAAGTGCCCCCAAAGTAAATTGTGTACCGTTCAAACTAAAAAGTCTGTTCTCTTCACTCTCTCTCTGGTAGCTTGTCCCATTCATTTGTGTACTACTGTGAGACGTTTGAGAAACCTGGGGTGTAAGACTGACCACAAGAGAACATTATGACTGAGTAGAGCCGGTGGACTACACCTGTCTTTCATAGATCAGCTTGCTATTTCTAAGGGTCATCAGACTTACAGAACTTTCACTCCTGGGTAGCCTCCTAATCCTACTTCTGGGGACTGCTGGCAATGGAGGACATGGTGGAGGCAGGTGGTTATGTTTTTTATAACTGCACCACTTTATATAGCAATTATTAAGAATGGGGCTAAACACTGTTTTATGTTCCTTACATTAAAAAGAAAATCAAAACTGTTTCTTCTCTGAAAAACTAAAATATTTCTAAGACTTCAATTCTTAAATTTACCAGAGGAATGCTCTTCAAGGGAGGTGTAAGGCCCTTGATTTCTCAAGTGTCACTACGGTGCTAAGGGCATATTCCAGTTCCCACTAATGTTGATTCACACAGGGGACGAGAAGCTGACAGTCAGCTCCTACCAGTCACCCTGTTAGCTCAACTGGCCAAGGTGGCTGTGGAGAATTTAAATGACCATAAACTGTTCTGATAGCATGTGTTGGGTTCAGTATATTAACACAGGCTGGAATTTTGTATTTTTTCATTACGCATCTGGAAAATTCTGTGCAAACAGGTTAGGTTAAAAGCATCTCATTTAAATAACAAATCACAATGTCTACATACAAGGGGACCAAATGAAGGTTATACAGCAGTGGGGTTTCCTAACTTTGCCTTTATAGCCTTCAGAAATTGTTTTCCATATTCTTTTTGTGTGTAATAAAAACTAAGTAAAAAGGATGATGAGAACTTCAAACGTCTCTCTCTCTGCTCCATTAAAATGATAATCAATTCTCAAATCAATTGAGTATTGTAAGGTATTTAAACACAAAAATGCATGCACTCACAGTACAGCAGCTGCAGCAAATTCAGAGTATGAAACGCTCAGTTCAAGGCTGTTCTGCTCTCCACATCCTGTGAATACCCACCCCAACGGGAGTCTGCTGCAGGATCTCAAAAGCTTCAAATTGAGTATACTGATGTTAATTACCAACTGTCATTCTTTGAAGAGAAAGGAGGAGGAAGAGGGGTGTGCAACGTGACTCTCCACCCTTGCTATGAGGCATAGTTTCTCCCAGGAGCAGCTCGGCAGGACGGAGGAACCGGAGCCCTGAGCGTGAGCTGTGACACTGCAGGCTGGGCAAGTCCGCTGGTGGCTGTCCCTCTAAATTCATCAGATCTACGTGCTTTATTTTTCAACTCAAACACGGCTTTGTGGGACTTGAGAGGTGAGGCTCCTTGTTTAGCATATTCTGTTTACGCTACTTCAGCGTGATTCGAGTCTGGCACATTCAGTATGACCTTCATGTCCACAAGACTGTGAAGCCAGCAGGTCCATCTCAGAGGCACTGGTGATGCCAGGGAAGAAGCAAACCTGGGTGCTCCAGTGCAGCTTCAAAATGCTGCAGTGCTCACCCATCAAAAATTGGGGTTCATCACAGCTACCTGTGAGTCCTAATCTGTCTCTCCTGCCCTACACCTCACACAGTCTGTTTGACCATCACTTTCTGTGTTACAGCTGGCCATTAGGGACAGAGCTGGCTACCTTACACCCCACAGGGCTTGTTCAGCCCCTGCTCAGCTCCAGGACACATCATGGATTGTCCTTGGAGCATGGAAATCAGTTTTAATGGGTAGAACATTTGAAGGAGAGGATTTCTGCATGGCAGAGTCAGGTGGGAGTCCTCTTTTCACCCATGTCTCATTTCATAAAATATTTAATAAGATACCTAAATCCTTTCCTACTCAACAAAGGATGCCTGAGTCCTTCTGACCTATGGCTGTGTAAGACAGAGTAGGTGATACCCCTGCTAGTGGCCTGTATGTCTAGGTATCCTCACACAATGAGCTCACAGGTGCTCTGAAAGCTGCAGGGAAGTACCAGCATTATCACTTTGTCACAGCTGGGAATAACACATGCGTGTAATTGGCTGTGAGGAAAAATCAGTGTTCAGCATTGGGCTTTATTATATGCATTGTTTTCAACTGCAGCTGGTTTGTCTGAAGTGACATCCTTCTGCTAGTATTTATTCTCTTTGGCAACCTGTTAAACTTCCCAAATAACCAGTTAGGTTAAAAAGTCAGAGAAGTACTTTTTTGGTGGGTTTTTACTGTTCTTTAGCACTTCTGCCACAAAACTGAGACAATCAAATTGTCCCATTTGCAAGTACCAGTAAAAGGCAAGTGCGAAAGTAATGGATTGACTCTTTACGAAAGGCTCAGTGTGTTATCAAGGCAGCTCTGTGTCTCGCTCTGATGATGAAGGCTGCACATCACTCAGACAGGCAGACTATTGATTTCCCGCTGTGAATGACCGTGCTCATTTCATACTTGAGTTTGTGGCCTAAACTGAGAATCAGCTCATATTTCTTTTGAATATGCAGGTGGCTAGCAGACAAAAATGATTGTGTAAGGCTCAAATTCCTGCCTTTTTTGGAGGCACCACTTGTTTCCAAATCTCCAAAATATAGAGATCTCAACATTTCTTTTGACGTGAGTGGAAGCTAACGGGTGAGTGGCACCTGGGGAAATCAAGCTGTTACTTAGCTATCTAAACCTGAACTGGAAGCTGCAATTTTTGGCACCCTTTCATGAAAACGTTGCTTTAGCCATGTTTTACACATGCAATCCAATTCAGATGTCTTAAATACATGGCAGAAGCTGATAAAATTTCACCAGCAATGAAAAAATCATATATATGGTTGTACATTTTATAATCTATCATCATTGCTAATAAAGTTTTGGGATAGAGTAACAATAGAGTGAAAAAGAAAAGCTAATTTTTAGCCAAGACTACTTCTTTTTTTTAATGAAACTTGTTAGACTTTAAGTTGATGGGATTCCTTTCAGTATAAAGAGGACGATGTTTTCATTTTTGCTAATCAATCAGAAATAGTATACACTTGCTTCATATCTCACAAAAGACCTTTTCTTCAGGCACTAAATTTGTTACAAATACTTGCCTGAGTAACCAACTTCAGAGTATATCTGCACTTACTGATGCCTAGAAAAAATTTCCAGAAACCTACACTCAATTTTTAAAATATTTTCATTGCACAGAAACATTGTGATTTCCAAAATATTTTAAATACAGCTTGACTACCTAAAACTACCAAAGTAGTAGTGGTATCAGCATAGAGTGGCAGTTCCTAGCTTCAGTGAAATTCCAGTCAGGCCATCACTGAACTGGTATTTTCAGATGTAAAATTTATTCTCCCCCCTCTCCTCGTTACCATTACTATCAGCAGGATTCAGCTTAATGATTACAAGGCAGATTGTATGTACTTTTTCACAGTATATCACCTTTTAATAATTTACAGGAATCTACTTAAAAATTGCTGCTTGTTTAATTTTCTTTTATGAAGAAGTAACTGCAACATGATTATTTAAACTAAAATCACAGAATCAGAGAATCTTTGGGTTGGAAGGGACCCTTAAAGGCCATCTAGTCCAACCCCCCTGCAGTGAGCAGGGACATCTTCAACTAGATCACGGTGCTCAGAGACCCCTTGAACTTGACCTGGAATGTCTCTGGGCAACCTGGGCCAGTGCTTCACCACCCTCACTGTTAAAGTAAAATATAGACTTCAATTCCATGGAAAGAAAGCAGCTTAGGGCAATCTGGACAGTATTTAAACTAAACACTGCTCATAGGAATAAAAAGATTAGCGCTGAAATATAAACCATAAACTTTTAAATTTTAGAAATTAGAATGTCTGTTACAAATACAACCCATTTTTTTCTTCCTAAGATCGTACAAAACTAACACCAAGAAAAATCTACAGCACAATAATCACATTTTTGCTATAAGATTTTTGCGTACAGTTATGGTCTTAGTCATCTAAAGTTTCTTTAAGATCATACCTCATGAAAATTGCAAATCTATGAAAATAAAAACCCTATTATTATCTGATATTAAAATGTTACTTTATTGCAGTTTTTACAAGATTGCTTCCATGCAGTGAAATGTTCATTAGTGAAGGTTATCAAATGCTGTATTAATGCGCATCTAACAATACGTGATCTTATTATTGCTTTACCTGACCCAGTAAAAGTGTCAAGCGATCCATCTCCAGTTGTTGTTGTTGTTTCACTGCTGTTCATGGGTTCTGTTTTAACTGCAAGAAGAGACACTACATAGAAGAATAAGTAGACATGAGATTTTACTTCTACATTTTTACTGGAGTCCTCATGCCAGTCTCACTAGTGGTAGTCCAGCTAGAACAAGCATGCGGTGCAACAGCTTCGACCTTTGCCTACCACCATACTGAGACAATCTACACTTGCTCCGTCTGGAGTGGCCATGCATCTACCTAGCTTTTTATCTGTGCATTCGCCTATCTCTTGGTCTTAGCAACTGGAATATCTTCTGGGGAGATTTCAACCTAAATCTAATTGATTCTAACAATTCCCCAAGAGTAGCAGAGAGGAAGGAAACATTAACTGTCAAGGGATGTAGCACGTAACGAAAATAGTTTTGCCTGACAAGTGAAACAATAATAATACGGTTTCATGCTCATATGGAAGCAAATTACTTTCACGGTGTCAGCATCCTGCCTTTCCCCTTCCCCTTTTACAGAGCCTGTGGGGGGCTTTTTGAGATAGGTCGCCAGCAAGCGATTTTCCATAAATAAAGAGAGAAGTTTAAAAGAAAAAAAAGCCATAGGAGTAGGACACAAATGACAGCCACGACAAGTCAGCTTCCAGCTCAGAGGTTACCAAACATTTGGGTCCTCTGATCGCAAATGATTCCTTACGGATCATCATGCACTCTTACCATCCAAGCTGTAACTGAGAGCACTATAGAGGCAATCTAGATTTTATGGTTTAATATGTTGCCTGAACAGTCCATCTGCCATGGACTTTTGTATTGGAGTTTGGGAACTACCCGTCTAATGGATGTGGTAAGAAAGAGTGGTGCAGAATACGCCACAGCTTTTATTAGAAGTTTGACGGGCAAAGGTGGAAGCCATCGACAACTGCTCTGCGCAGGTCAGTTAGGTGCGTGTGAGAGCACTTATCACGTCTTATCATGTATAAGCAACCTGCTTATACATACCACAGGACCGGTTGCTGCGCAGGGGCGCAGAGCGAAGCGGCCGTGAGGACCTGCACGGGTCACTACCGCGGTCATACGCCAGGTATCGAAATTCCAAGGGTGCAGCCTGGGATTTGTGGAGAAGCCTTTGCTGTGACAGCCCCCCCCAGCAGGTCTAGCATACGCCAAGCAAAGGCATCTTCTTCCCAGCTAGTTACCTGATGCCTCTGAGGGACATCAGCTGAGCTGACCAAAGCCCTCGTCCGTCAACATCACTGCATTCACAGGCAATAGCAAGGAGAGGGGGAAAATTTCATGTTCTGAGCTGGCAGTGTATTTACAAACTATGGCTCAGATTCAAGTCACGTAGCTTAGGCATATAAAAGGTGCGTACTAATCTCCCTTTATGTTCAGTCGAGAAAGAGAGGTACTTCCAGAGGGTGATTCAGCCCAAGTACAGCCTGAGCTGCCCTCCAGTTCACCATCCCTCTTACGCTCTGTAGAGGAAAAGGCAGTGGATGAGCTAAATAAGGGATTTGGTTTGCTCATGGGACAAATGTCCAGAACAACACCTACAGAACCGGGAACTGCCCGGCTACCAACCCAGCCGGCCGTGACGGGCTCTGCGTGAGTTACCTCTCCTGCAATACGACACCCCATTTCCAGCCACGCTGCCTAACGGGTCCTACTTCAGTACGTCACGCGGGAAGCTGCAGATGCCTACAGGGAAGCTGCAGATGTCTACAACTGCACTAGTGACCTGCGCCGCATTCAAGGGGACTCCTGTTTAGATCAAGCAGGGAACAGCCGAGAGATCGGGATGATGGTCTCTGTGACCGGGAGAGTGCCCCGCTGTGCCGCCGGTGCCCCAGTGCTAATCAAACCAAGTAGCACCTTCTTGCACAAGTTGTACAGTTGTATCTTTGCAAGAGTAAAAAAAAATTTGAATGTGCGTCTTTTAAATGTAACGTTCTTTAAAATGTAACCTTCTTTTCATTACCCTTTCTCTTTAATAAAACTGCCACACCCATCTCCCTGCAAGCAGCAGGATATTAATTCAATATGAAATAATCAGGGGAGAATTTTAGGCACATTTTTTCAAGCTGTCATGTACTCCTTGTCATTTTCCTGTCTATTATCTTCTGATTTAAAAAAAAAAAAAAAGCTGTGACAAAAATGTCACAAAATGAACAAAGTCATTCATAACCAACCATTCCCATTGCTCTATGTATTTCGTAAGATCAGTAAAATTTACCTCAAGACAAAGCTTAAGGGTCATTTGTCACAAAATAATTGCCTCCACTGAACCTCAGGCCTCTCAAGTCACGTGGAACCTGTATTGTTGCCTGAAGCATGAAAAGTGAACTACATTAGTTTGTTTTCCGATGACTATATACAGGTGTCTGCATGTACTGCAGTAAGAGAATGAAAAATCATACTAAGTTGAAAAGATCTGTATTTTCCCCTCTGAAGATCTTTGGTCATATTTTACTTTATAAGCTGCATGTCTCTTTTACCTACATGAAAAAACCTACTTTTTAGTACCCTTTTCTGTTTCTGTTCAAGATGGCATTCCACTATTGCCCATACTGAGCTACAGACCTATGTTCAGTATTGCATCCAGAAAGACACTCCAGTATGTGCCTAACTGTTTTATTTAACAATCCTTCAGCAGCGAATTGAAATGTTTACGTTAGAGTTGTGTCTAATTCTGGTTAATGCCAGCTGCAGTGCACTTCCATAGTCACCATCTTTTTCTCTCTCTGTCAAGCAGAAAAGGTTCTAAACCAAAAGGAACTCTCTCATGTACTCAACTTGAGGAAAAACATCATATTGGCACTGTGTTTTGTTGAAAAATACATGTAGAAAGTATTTTTATATGTGCTTGATTTTAAACAGTTCTACTTTGTTACATTCAGATTTTATGACAGTAAGGAATTCATCAGGGTCTTTCCTCAGTGTAGCTAGACATTTGGACTATTACCTTTCTTTCCTTTCTTTGTTTATGTTGCATGTCCTTAAACAAAGAGGGAAAAAAGCACAAAGCTAACAAAAAAAAAAGAATTCTAACATAAGATCAAAAACCCAGGGATATTTAAAGCTGAAATCAAAATAGAAGTTGACACCAATTGAAAACACAGAATCATCCCTGTGTTTCCCACATGCAAGATAAAGCGTGGTTCTGATACTACTATGGCAACTGCTCTAGACATAATGCAAAAAAAGGAGTTTGAACCAGCATTTTGGCTGAATACATTAAAGACTACACATTCACTATTCTATTTTTTAAAGTGTGGCTTAGTTTTGGTTGTTTTTTTTAAACGTATGGTAAAAAAGAGTAAAAATAAAACAAAAAGCAATCTCAAGCTGGAAATACATTTGAGTGTTGCTAACAGTAAAGACTGCGCATTCTAACAGAGTAGAGCTACCACGACGGTCAGGGGCTGGGGCATATGATGTACAAGGACAGACAGAAGAAGCTGGGCTAGACAGCCCAGTTCTGTCCTAGGAAGAGAAGGCTGACGGGAGAGCTAATTGCTGCCTGCAGGTATCTAATGGGAAGGTGCAAAGATGACAAAGAAAAAAGGCACACTCTTCTCAAAAGGTCCCCTGTGAAATGACAGGAGGCCATAGACACAAGCTGCAGCAAGGGAAAAATCCAATTAGATGTAAGAGGAAAACTCTTTGCCATGAGAGGAGTTAGGCCCTGGGACGGATGCCCAGAGAGGCTGTGGCAGCTCCACATTGGAGATACTCAACACTCAACTAGACGCTGCCTTGAGTAATATGATCTAACAGCAAAGCTGGTGCTGCTCTGCGCAAGGGTTGGCCTTCCTTGGGATCCCTTCCAAACTTCATTATCCTAAGACAAACTCAGAATACAGCTCCCAACAGGCAACAGCTTCTACAATATAACTTCTTGATGAAAGGATTTAGCAGACCAACATGGCTACTACTCTGCCAACCTCTTTTTTTGCTAAAGAACCTCTCAACATTAAGGGCTGGAAATGAACACGGAGTTTTAGGGGCAAGAGATGCTACCACTATGCATGAAGCAGGTCAAGCAAGTGCAATAGCTATTAGAGCAAACAGGTCTAACTAAAAGCTCATGCAAAACAGTAAACCACACAGGTTGTCATAGGAATGATTTTCCTCTTTCTTTTAGCAAGCCCTAAGGGTTTACCTAGGAATATACTCAACTAGAAGCACAGATCTAAACATTCTGCTGCCTACGGGAAATCAGATTTAATGCAAGTAATGCAAGGCCTTTCACATCACATTTCCTCACTACTGATAACTAGTACTTAAATTATTACCTCCTACATCTGAACATGCTGAACAGCTAACTGAGGTGACAGACTGTGCTGGTTTTGGCTGGGATAGAGTTAATTTTCTTCAACCCACGAGTTTTCTCACTTTTGCCCTTCCAATTCTCTCCCCCATCCCAAGCAGGAGGAGTGATCTAGCAGCTGTGTGGTGCCTAGCTGCTGCCTGGGGTTAAACCATGACAGACTTATTTAGCTCAGTCCTTCCTTAAACTTAATTATAACTGAGCAGGAGCATTCACATGGGATAAGTTATTCTAGCGCAAACAATCTTTTGTGCTCAAGTCTGAACTTTTATCGGGGTAAGTTCTCTCTGGATATGTGGCTTACAAAGGACAAGCTGATTCTGAGGGTTTTTTTAAAAGGAAACTTTAGTCCAAACCTGCACAGCTTAAGCACCTGTGTAATGGCTTGTAGAGAGTCATGGTGACACATGTTTACACATATGATTAATCTCATACATACTGCCAGTGTCACATATATAGTTATTATTAATCATTATAACTGATAACAATTAACATATGAGAGGAAAATCATAAATGAAAACAACAGCTTGGAAAATTTGGCCAAATGTTTGTAAAGCGGCAAGTTACACGTAGTAGCACACTAGACATAAGCTTTAATCAATAATGAAAGTAGTAGTAGGACTAGTAACAATAATGTCAACTTTGATTTGTGCAATGTTGTACTTAAAAACAAAAGAAAAATAAATGGGCATTCTGCGGAAAACCCATTGGTTTGACTTCCAGCAATGCTGACTACCGGCATTTCCCAGCAATGTTCATCACCACAGGGCTCTCCCAGTCTCTCACAGCCTGTGGACAGTTAAGCTAATTTTAAGTGGGTTCAATTCTCCTTGCTCATCAACTTTATTGCAACTTCCTACCAGTTTTCTGGCTGTGGGGAAGGCCTCTGAGAGAGGTGGAAAAAAAGATGGCAGAGAAAAACGCTGTGAAAATGTTCAGCCCGCCTAACAGAAGAACAGAGCAAACCAAGAGAGACGTTACACAGCAGTCACGGAGACACACCGCCACACGCATGCACTGTACCAGGGTCTCTCATACTTGTTGCAGAAGAGGGGGTACTGCAACTCAGCAACCAGTCTGCAGTGTTTAACACAGTCATGTTGTCTCCTGAGAACAGGAATGGTATAACGGTTCATTCTCCCAAGGTCTCTTCAGTGTACATGAATAGTCTTCAATGCAAGGAAGTGTTTTTGCACTTTGAGCCAAGTCTTTTAACTGCACTGTATTGTTTTTATGAGTATTATTTTAAATGGTTTATTTTTGCAAGCGTCATATAAAGGCATCTAGTTATTAGTGTGCTTTAATGGTATGCTTGAAGTTTTCCCTTCTCTTTATACCAGAATAAGGATTCTATTTAAAAATATAAATAGGTTGAACCTTAACAGTTCAGTCCTCCTCTGCAGAGCTCGGTTACCCTCACATGCACATACACTTTTTATTGACATTGACAGATTTTTTTTTTAAACAGGGTAAGTGAATAAAATGCTTTACATTATGGCCAGAAAGAACAAAGTAAAAAAATTTTCTTGGTGCCAGCTGTTAAAATAGACAGCAATGTATAAACTCCAAAAAAGAGGGCTGACGCTCTAGCTTGACTAGTATGCACGGTGCCACTCTCATGGACACTAATGGGAACAGGACTCCATCTCAGAACGTGGTACCCGCCTCTCACTGCTCCAACTCAGCTCTGCCAAAGCCTGTTGTCCGAAAGCACTGGGACATCTGTGTGGCAGCTGCATGGCACTGCTGTCCCTTCAGTAACAGGTGCAGCAGCAATGGCCCGTAAGTTCGGAGGAAAATTTAAAATCTCTTTATGACAAACTTTCATTACCTCCCAAGAAATGGAATTAGCATGTTCATCATGTAAAAAAATTACCTGAGCCTCATTTTGATGCACTTCTTTTGACAGAGCTTTTAAATTAACCTAAATAGGTGTAGCTCAGGGTACAAGAGTACTCAGCAATGCAGTATGATGCAGAAAATACAATCTATTTCAAGTTACCAACAGATATAACCAAACCTTTAATACTTCGTTCAAATCAACCATTCCAAGATTTTCCTTTTTTCACCTTTGCACAGTTCTGCCAATTACTTCAATTGGTGCAAATCGAAGAAGTGCTGTTCGCATTAGTAGATTTACACTGGTATGACTGCCATATTTTCACAATTCTTGCTGGGTTTATAAATGGGTTTATGCTCATCCTTGAAAGTATGTTAAAAAATTACTAAAAACTAGCCCAAACTTTCTATGTGCCAGCAGTGTCTTATACTTACCTCCTGTTCCATTTGTTGTAACTGATGTGCTACTGAGATTAGGTTTATCCAGTTTGGAACCACCCGGTGCATCACTACTTCCAACCAGATTATGAGGACTGGCTAGTTCTTGCATTTCCATAGACCTGTTAAAGACGGTGACAGCATTTAAATGCACTGTGATACTATCTATAATAATCTGCTTTTTCTATAACAACTTTTTTTACATGGAGAGTTTGCAATGCAGCCAGATTAACAAATATAACAATACAGGTTCCTTTAAGGTTATCTTTGCTTTTTACCAAACCTAAGAAATTAGCTAATAATTTGATGTGAACAGCAACAAGGCCAGTATCTTTCACTTTTCCTTTAGGTATTATGAAGTAAATGACACAGGCTTACGAAACTACTCAAACAGCTTGTAAAAGACGGGCATGGGGGGTGCACAGATGGAGGGATAAATGGAAAAATGCATGTAATATTTTCTTTCATAGAAGAAAAGAGCGAAATAAAGTGAAAAGTCAGTCATTACACAAAAAGTCAGCATAGGAACTTCTGCCTCCCGTTACCTGTATTCCAACCACCAGCAGTCACTGCATCCACACTAAATCATAGGAACAGGCCATACAGGTGAATGAACAGAACTTTTATGTACATCTGGAAGGTTCTTCACTCTTACAAATGCATGTATTCTTACTAGCTCACTTGATGTTTTTTTTTCTTCTGAGCAATTTCTAGGAAACTTGCAAAATTTCAAGCGGATTTAGACTGCAATGGATTTCAGGATCACAGTTATACTGGGAGACTGTGGACAGCTGTCATCCAGTGACAACAGATCTGCCTTTCTCGGACAAAGCAGACAAGCAGCACTTCTTGCTAGACTGCTAATTGCAATCCAATTTGCAGTGTGTGCTCACCTTTTCCTTGCTTCATTTATAAATTAATTACACAGATTTTTTTCCCCAAAGAAACATTTTTGCATGTAAGCAAAGTTTCCAGCCCGCCTATGACAGGAAAACTGTTCACCATATGTATACTACAAAGGCCAACAGAAAGTTTGTCTTACAGAGCTGTAAAAGCCCAATGACATTGTAGAAGACCGAAATGGCTAGGAAAGAGATGAACAAGTGGGATAGTTCAGTGAGAATAACCGCTCTTATATATTTGTATTCTGACCAGGAAAATCAGTGGTAAATTGTTAAGGCAACACACAGCATCTTAAGTATTTATTGCAAGTTTCACTTTGAAATTGCCTACCTTCTGTGCTCCACACGTCCTCTTCTAAGGAAAAAAAAAAAAACAACACAAAAAAAACCCCCACCATATTTCCATCAAATATGGGTCTGATGTCTGAATCTATTTTTTTCTCCAATATAAGGAAAAAAAAAAAAACCCCAGAACAAAAACATCTCACATTTTGTGCTCTTAATTCTGTTGATCTCCTGGATGCTTTAGCTTGCCTCTCATTGCATTCGTTTAACCCAAGACACAGCTTCAGAGCTTTCATGTCATGAATATGTTCCACGAAATGTAGGAAGTACTACATCTCAGCCGGGAAAATGCACCAAGGCCTCACCCAAAGGCACAGGAAGCAAAGAATCTTATTTACTCCCGTAAATGCTCAAATCGAACCCGAGAGGCACGGGTACTCCACCGGCCGGGCAGCCTCCGCAGCAGCAGTCTGGATGAGCAGAGGAAAACTGATACTGCAGAAGGCCAAGCATCAGCAGGTAAGAATTTTATAGCCATATTCGAGGAAATACAAAGGCATAAACTGAGATTTGAACTGCCTTGACCCGGATTTCTTCATCTAATTGTATATACAATCCTCCACATCTGTCAGCAGCGCATTATATTGACCGTCTACTGGAAATGTGATCAGTGTTAGACGAAATAAAATGAACTCAAGTGGTTTACTAGTCTGTCAGTTTTTGTTTAGTAGTTTCTGTACAAGGATAGCAGTTAAAGGTTAAAAAAAGTCTGAGTTTCCATCTTGTACGTATTTAAGGGAGCAGGAGAATGCTACGCAAAATAAACAACGTGTGTTGCACACGCAGCGTAATGCTCCCCACGTGTTCGCGCAGCCGTTTAAGTGTCACGATTTCCTGCTCAAGGATGATCAGCCCAGAGGTACCTAACGGGCAGCTCTAGCTCAGAAAGTCCGCGTGCTTTTTTTCTTGTTTAGCATAAACATTACCACAGCTTCTGATTTACCTAGCTACTGCGTTTAAGAAGCGTCCATCTCAAGCACCTTTCACACTCAAGTGAATCAGATTTTCTTAATCAGAAGACTAAATCCAGCGATTTTTATTTGCTTGGCAGAGAATCTGAACAGTCGGAATAAAGAATAATCTAAATAATAAGGAATAATCAGGAATAGTCTAAACAAAAGGAATATTTTTTGTTCCATACCAGTATGAAACCTTTTGTGCAGACAAGCGTTTTATTTGCCTTACAGTTGTTTTCTACAGCAAATGGCATCCTGGTCCACAGACACGGCAAGTTAATTAATTAACACTTTTTAAAAAGTAGTACATTTACAAATAGACATTTTCTCTTGGTGAGTAAAAGGCATCTTGCACTTACTGGTAGTTTATTAAGGATAAAAAGGATATCCAAACCAATAAAAAGTATCACAAAACCACGTGTATTACATTATACTTATCCTGGGTGCTCTACCCTGTGTAAACAAGTAAGGGGATTACTTTAATATATCCCTATGTGATTTACTTACTCACTTGCACATGTTACCTTCTGTATAACAGATGTCATTCAATTCACCTTTCTGGATGCATTTGGTTTACCTTTAGCCTAAAAATTTCTTGGGAAGATGTAACAGACCTACTAAAATCTTACAGTTCCAGTGAATGGAGAATTCAGGAAAAATGCTTAATAAAATGGATGAAATAATTCCAACATCTTGAATTAATTTTGTACAACTAAATGTTTATCAGAGTCCTGCTTTCACTGACTTAATCAGAAGCAGGTTGGAGTTCAATATGTGTTTTCCTGCACTAAAAAATGTAAAAAAGAGTGATCTCCGAAGGACCAATCAATACTTCTAAGTTTATGCAGTTATTTATGAAAGACTGTTTTCTAGTAAATGCAGTGTGTTTCAATTTAGACAGAATAAAGCCTATTGTTAAAGATGTTTAAAAAACTGCATCATACAACTTTATTTTCCATTTTTTTGTTCCTCTGCCAGGTACGTAACTGTTTGAGCTTTAGTCTTCCCCCTCTTGCATTGTCTCAGGCTACTTTTTAGAGTAATTAAGTAAAATGCTAAATTGCATCGAAAGATAAATTTTGAGAGGAAATGGATTACTTGGTAAGAAGATGTTTTAATTTTCTCTTGACCTTTTGTTTGAAGAACGTTAGCATGACTCCAAGCTCCTGAGCGAAAACCTGAAATCTGGCGAGATGAATTTGTCCTTTATTCTGCTTTGGCTACGTTTTAAGTCTTTGAAAATTGGTATTTGCCCTTGTAAGCAAAGGCTTACTGGAAAAGCCCCTAAAACATCCCGTTTGCCCAAAACAGCATCCCAGATCTTCGTGGGCTTCAACTCCAACCTGGACGTGGACAACCCCAGCAAATTGAAGCGGGTTTGTGTCAAAAAGACGGCTGTGTGTGAGTCCTGGTCTTCCCACATTTTGTTCCCTGGCTTGAAGTGACATCTTCTCAAGGGTTAACCTACATTCAGAAGCGGGTTAAGGAACAGCATCCAAAGTGAGAAATTCTTCCCCCCGTTACCCAAGGGCAGTAAACCAAACAGAACTTGTGATGCGCCCCAAACCACTGGGGCACACAGCCCAGCATCATAACCCAACCTTGCACGAGGAAGGTTTAAGTATGTCCAATTTGACCACTGCATCACTGTATTTCTGTAGAGCTTTCGCTTCTATTATTTTAAAGGTAAAATGCTCAAGCCTTGGTTCTAGGCTTGTGTTTTTAAAATTCCTGCGGTTTTTTTCTTTCATTACAATCACATATCCATTTGTTCACTGCTTTTCTTCAGCAGAATTAAAATCTAGCTCCAGAAAAAATCTGAGTTATTATAACTTTGTTTTCCATTTGCATTTTGAATTAAAATACTATAAATGTGGACTAAGAGGTAGGTTCTTGCACAACTCACAACTCTATTGATTATTCATGAATTCTAGAAGTAGATCATATTTAGATAATTTTTTTCTTTAAAGAGATCATGTTTTAAAATGTAAATGTTTTGCTACATAATCTACTTTTACTATATTTCAACCTTTTTTACTAACAAGTTTGAAAGTATGAAATCATTTATCAGAGAGTTATAAAAGAAAAAATATTCTAACATGAAAACAAAGTACTTAAAATCCTAGACTAAACAGAGTATTTTACAAAAACTAATTGCTCATTGTGCAGCATTTGCAGCAAATCTAATTTAAAAGGGAACTGAAAGGACTGACTAAAGGCTATTTAAAATGGAATAATTTCATTTAGTTTATAAATTAATCAGACCAAAATTATTTAAAAGGATTTTAAGGGATTTTTCTTTTTAAAATTCTTTAAAAGGAAATTCTCTACATCATTTTCTCTAGCAGAATCTTTACTAAACTTCACTGTGGCAAAAAATCCACATTATCTAGGGGATTTTTTTTTGTTAGTTTTCCCCTGTTTTTCTTAAGTCTCTCCTGTTGTAACCCCAGTTCTTACATATCCCAAACTTTCTCACAGAAACCTGGAGCCTTGTCCAATTAAGATGCCAGCTACCTTGGAACGTCTGAAATTAAACAAACAGGAACTTCTCTTTATTTAAAATTAACATTTAGAGCAATATGAAAGTTGGGTAACAGATCTGTTCAGACTCAGCTAAATCTGTTTCCTACTGCTGTCAGCTCAGTTCTCTGACCAACTACACAGTTTTGCAGAAAAGTGGGGTGGGGATTTTTTTCCATTTCCCACAGAAATTTTTTTAGCCAGATCTTTCAGCCATGTTCTGGACATGACTACTGAGCCGAGCTCTCTTCCATATGCAGTCTGAACTAGCTCATACAAGCCTTTCACTACGATATAAAAATTAGAATAGATCCACATACACAAATGTTATTACTCCAATAAAATATATATAAAAGCTGCAACAAAGTTTTAAAAAATCGGTAACAATAGATACAT